TGCTCTCCACTTCTGACAGAAAAGGCTTTCATCCTCAGGGTGAGTGTCTTGAGGGAAGAGTGGTGTCAGTAGTAATAATAAAATGATAGAGATATTTTCTTGTAGACTTGCTAGTGCAGATTTTTGTCTGAACCTCCTTAGTTGCAATGAAAAGGAATATCCTCAAGTCTGCACAGGTACATCCCTGTGGCAATACCATCAAGTCAATGAATTTCTATGAACATATTATCTGAGACAGTTGTAACCTGTCTATTCCCAAGCCAGATTGCTAATTACCTCCATTTGCTTTCTATAATGAACTTCTTTCTCTGTGGAGGGCTTTTTGACAAAAAAATCTGTTTCACTCACACCAACAGCAAGCTGACATTCAGATTTCTCCCTCCAAGGGCAGTGATTTCTTTTTTACATTTCTGAGATCAGTCATATGAGGCAGCACCCACTACCCAAGCTACTGCAATCACCTCCTTAACCAAGTGGTACCTGGGCTCAAAACTATAGAGGCAATGCCTGCACTCACTCATGCCTGTAAAAAAACCCAAAGGCATTTTGCTACAATGATGGAAACCCAAGTTGTGTTGGCCTTTAGGACCCAGGATTTTCACAGGTTGTTTCAGTACCTGACATATTTCCCAACGACAGATGCTGCAGCTCTATATTCAGCATGTTTCAGTCTCCTCTGGGAACAACAGGGCGCTTCTCCTTCTCAGGCACTTTCTTGGCCTTTTTGATAAATGCTGTCTAAAAATGCTGCATTTTGAAATGCTGACAGGTTTGTAAAGGCAAAAACTAATTCTGCCTTTGAGGACTGTCTGTGGCCATGGCAGCAGCAGGGAGGGGGCAGATCGAGGTTTGCAGACCTGTCCAGGTGCACAAACCCCACAAAGCTCTTCCCTCCCTCTGCCCAGGCAAAGCTATCTTTACTCCCCTTCTCCCTCTACTTTTCCTTACTATTGAAATCTCATGGATTTTTTCTTTTACATTTGTTTATAGAAAAGCCACTCTCCCTCAAGAGCAAAGTTCTTCCATTCCTATTACACTAGAGCCACGTTCTCTCTTCAACAAGGAATTGTTTCATCTGTATCCTTCTTTGAATATACATTTGGCTTAGAAGTCAAAAAGTATCGCTTGCTGGCATCTTTATTTTGTATCAGAAGAGAATATATTTCATTAATTGAATTTCTGCCTATTTTTCTGAGTAATTAAATGGTTTTATAACCCCACTGTTGCCTAGCAATGCTGATACAGTACCACAGTAAACACACCGCTGCTTAGTAAAAAAACTTAGAACACTGTTTAGAAGGCAGTGGGAATGACAAGGCTTGTACAGAGCTGTGAGTGAAGATTGCTTAGGACAGTTTTTAGAAATTATCTTGGTGCTGTTTGGCCCAGGAGCATTTGTCAGTGAAAGAGCACAAGTGTCTAACACTTGAGCCACCAGCTTTGTAAGGAGTGGTGAGCATACTCAAAGTAATGAGGACACTGAGGTTTAGAGCAATGTATTGGCTATGTCAGCTTTGTGTGCCTGACATTCACCACTCAGGATGGCAGTGATGCAATCCAGTGACACGGTTTGAGGTGCAAGCTTGCCAAAAGCAGCCAGGGAATGTGTGATCTGCTGAGATCATTGCTGAAACCAGCTGACTTCCACTCACTGACCTCTACCACAGCAATTCAAATTACATGGCAAATGAGGATTTCAAGATGCTGTGGTCGTGGATATAATTGCATCTGAGATGATACAAGGGTGAGAAGGATTCATCTATCAGTGGCAAAAGGTCTGCTGGCAATTCATTATCTCTGTACCAGGTTTATAGTGCTGGCATGTCAGGGCTTTGTGCAAAAAGAGGCTTGTAAGAAAAACTGCTGTGACGGTGTGAAAAATATAAAGTCTAGTTATTGAAGGTGTGATGAGCATAAGAGAACAGATTAATGAGCAGCACATTTAGTGTCTAAATCACTAATAAAGGTTTGCACTAGGTACTTGTGTCTCTGGAGAGTATATAACAATCCTTTGTCATAATTTGTAGGCTTGCTGCATTTTCCCTTTATGCTGTCTGATCACCAGCACAAATCACATTATTTATTTGGTGGCCCTGTGTAAATTCTGCAGGACAAACCCTCAAGACATGTGTGTTCATTCTGAGAGAGCTGGTCCTTGGCAGAGATGGGATAAGAAACACCCTCTGGAGCAGGCAGCAGAGGACTGAAGGATCCTCTGAGAACAGTTAGTCTGGTACATTTAGGATTGAAAAGACAAGAAATATTCCTGAAACCTGAGGAGGGCATGAGGGCATTGAGTGGGAGAATGTTTCTATAATTAAAGGGCATTGAGAAATCTGACTGAATTTGGCCCACACAGGTGCACTGGCTTTGGTACACACATGTATACTGTGTTCCGGAGCACGTGCTTGGAGGCTCATGCTGAGCCCTCCACAATTCTGAAATTCAGCCCAAGGAGCTCTTAGAACATACTGCTGGGGGAGAGGAGCTGAGGCTGCCAGCACAAAAAAAGCTGTGAAGTTTAAGCCTCATTTAAAAGCCTCTGCAGTCACCTGAAAAACCTCACTCAACGGCTCTCAGGGGAATGACAATTCCGAGTTGTCTTTAAAGCTCCTGAAGTACTTAAGGCTATAGATATATTTGTAGGTAATGACACACAGTGGGTAGAGACCAGTAGCATGAAAAAGACAGAGCTGATATCCACATTCCGTATTTCTGGAGAGGCATCTGCTTCTGCTGCATAAACTTTGCCTTGGCTCCTGAGCCTGAGCATGGCTGGTAGCTGCACGAGTGGGATGCATGGAGGGCAACCCTGGAGAGCATTTTTGGGCTGAGCATCAGCCAAACAAAGGCTCATTTCCCTGTGGATCTCCATCACATCTCCAGTGAAGTGGGGGCCATCCACAGGTTAAAAATCACACTCCTGATGCAAAAAAGCGGAAAGGTGCAAGCTGAAAGTGTGTTACCTGGGACTGCCAAATTGCTTACCTGAAGGAAACCACCAGGTTGCTGTCCCATCTCCCACCACAGCTGCAGGGTGCACCACTAAAGCACTCTCCGGTGCATTGAAAAGAGACAGGAAGATGGCCTTGAGAAGAGGGAATTGAGGAGATAACCGAGGTGCTGTCCCTTCTCCCTCCCTCTCCTCATCAGAGCACCGAGGCTGGCAGGAGGGAGGCCAGCCTCTGCGCCCTCCCCCTCCCGAGCAAAGCCGAGCCCTGATTTAGCACCTGCTTGGCAGATGCTCAGACAATCAAAAGCCGAAGGATGCCCTGAGGTGAAGCTCTATTGATGTGCAATACTTTGAACCAATATATATTTCATTACTGTAGAGAGAAAGACTATGAATCAATAATTCAGGGGTAAGGCAAGGGAAAGGGATCGGTTGGAAGCACTGCTGGAGGATGCACTTCGCTTTCTGAAACACTTAAACTGTGTGGTTTTTTCAAAGACCACCTTGATTATATACCTACAGTCTTTTCAGTAAACTCTTAAAGCCACTGTACTCATCAGAGGAACAATCATTCCTTGCCCCATCACCCTAATCGATGAACAATATTTAACATAATGTTTCAAACCACAGACTTCCTTCTGGATATTGCCTCTGATCCAGGGTCTCTCTCTGGAGGCAGGGGAAGAGAGAAGAGAGAGAAAATGGGGCTGGGAAACGCTGCGAGAATAAAGAGCAAACCAGTATTAATTGAACATTAGTCATAAGGAGGGAGGCAATGGAGTTATACTAATTTAATTTTGAACTGAGACTTGAAGAGGAAGATAAATGGAAGAAGAAAATGAGGAGATAAAGGACTACTGATACAGAAAAAATAACCCTGATTTTCCAGTGAAGCAAACTAGGTTGCTTTTTCTGAAGCATTAAGCTGCAATCTCAATTTCCAACTAGAAATATCTGGAATTTCTGTAATTTCAAAGGGCTTAGAAGAAACCTATTTTGCAAAACATATGCCTATTTGCTTGGAAATACTGACCCAAACTGTTTATTTCCCAAAATATTTTTTTAAAAATTGTTGAAATAGTTTGTTTCCAAAGGCATAAATTTCAAATCAAAATCTTCTGATATGGGGGTTAAAATATCTTTATCGCACTACACTTTAGAGATGGTTTTTGAATGTGTAAAATGGTGGTAGCAAAATGAAACACTTAATTTTTTTTTAATATAGATAGAAGTTTTTTCTTCATATTTCTTGATTTTGTCCTGAAAATTGCATAAAATGTTTTCCTAACCCGTTTTCTCCCTTTGTGCAAGAACAGCAAAATGACACCTTACTTGAAGTGGCACGACATTGGACTGGTACACATTTTCTTCCATGGACTGCCCTGAAAACATTTATCTTGTCCATTTGAGAGAAGTTGGTTTTGAAGAAGAAACTTAATATTACCTGTGTGTAAAACAGGCGTACCAGTTCCTGTGATTCATTTGTAAAACTTGCATCTCTCTGAGCACTCACTTGTTCAATAAGAAACAGAACAAAGGCTGGAATTTCTCTTTGGATTTTCTTACAGGAGGAAAAAAAGAAGAAGAAAAAAGAAGAAATAGCCTGAGGTGTATTTTATTTGGCAAATATAAAAGTAAAGGCATAAGTAGGTTAACTTCAAGCTGACAAGGCACGGTTAGTCATTAATTAATTAAGTTTGCAAATTAACTTCTGACAGAATTTCCACTAACATTAGCAGCATTTGGTTGCCACTCCAGGTGATTTCGCAGGAGACTTTTTAAAGTGAAATAACAGATAAAGAATAAAGGAGGTTCAGTGTTTCAGTATTTGGCACAGCAGTAATCAAGCTGACACACTTAGACAATAATTATGGGGTGTTTTCTGAGGCTTTCCCACCTCCTCTGGCATACTGGGCTGAGGGGTCATGGCTTGACTGCCCCTAGGACTGGGGAGCAGATACATCCCAAGGGTCCTACTTGCCTCTGTGGTTCACCTGAAGTCATGTATTTGCTTCTTCCAATGCTTCTTCACTTAATGTCTTTGTAGATTCATTCACAGGACTCATCAACATAATGACAGACATCATTTGGCGCTACACTGGAGATTTTATGGCCCCTGATATCGTTTGCAGGGTCGTTCGCTACTTCCAGGTACAAAAACCTCCTGCTTTGTGCCCCCATAGCAGTAAACTCTGACAAAAACGCTGTGTTGAAGCTTTTCTAGCAGCAAAAGTGCTAAATGTTGAAAATGTTCATTTAAAGGTCAAACACATTAGAGCATATTAAATATTTTAAATTTTGTGGACAGGAAAAAGGAAAAATACCTGGGTGAATATACAAGGGGGTGAAGGGGTTTCCTTTTCTTTTTTTTTTCCCCCCATTAAGCTTTGAAACATTCCTAGTTCAGAGTTCTCACTGTCATCACCTTCTGCAATAGATGTGTCTCAACTGTTGTCCTGTTATGCTTTCTGCCCCAGGTGGTCCTTCTCTATGCCTCAACTTACGTCCTCGTGTCACTAAGCATAGACCGGTACCACGCCATAGTTTACCCCATGAAGTTCTTGCAAGGAGGTAGGAGAATTTCAGTACCTTGTTCTTGCTGTAGACATTATTGGGTAATTTTTTAGTTCTCAAAATTCTAAACCTTGTTGCTATGAATTATTCATTCCTGCTCTAGCTGCATTTGAACTCTGTTACAGTTTTCCAAAGGACGAAGTAGCTGTGGTTTCAAGATTTATTAAACTCCACTTAGCCCTCAGCAGTTTTTACAAGTATTATGTTGGCAAAGAATGAAATGACATTTTAAAAAGTATAATGGTTTTCATTATATTCCAGCATTTTTAGGATTTAATGGACAAAAGCTATCCCTTGTTCCAGTATCCTGACTGTAGGAGCTGCAACATCTATAATGTCTATTTATTCACATTAAAAAATAACTTGGATGGAGGGTGTACTGAGCATTCACACAATAATTTGATGTTCAAAAGACATAGCATATAAGTTTGGATATCTATTGTTTCTTATCATTTCCTCTGTTTGTTTGGTTTAATTTTTTTTTACAGCACTCGGATATATCCTGGCCTCTTAGCAGTACAGTTTAAAAAAAATTATTTCTTCCCCACAGAGCCAAAGTGGGGTGCTAAGAATGTTGCACTGAGTGAAGAAACAGAAATTGCAGGTGGGGAGGAAGAAGAACAGTTACAAGAGCCATGAGGTCTGGAGGATGTGCTTTAATCAGATGCAAATATCATTCTTGTTTTGGAGCACTGATGGCTTTTGCCAGACGGCTCCATTCAGGGGATCAGATTAATGGTCCTTCCTGGCCTTAAAAACCTGTGAGTCAATCACAGCTCTGACAGTGTGCAGCTTTGGCAGATGTTAAAGTCTGAAAGCTTCAAAAAATTGTGTGAAATTTAGCTTTATATTCCCCAGTGTGTAGATCAACTCTTTCAGCACAGGGAGATGGATATCAAGGTTTTCCCAGCGGGCTTTGGAAGAGGTGGCATTGCTCTACAGCTCCTTCAGGAGGGCTCATCAACCAGGCAGGGTGGGGGCTCATAAACCTGCTGGCTGAGCAGGACAGACCTGCAGGCATTTCTTCTTCATGCATGGCACAGGAAAAGCAGTGCTTGTTAAATTACTGCCTGGGTATAGTAAAGAATTTGATGGGTAATCTTTGAAAAGGGCTTTGAAGTTGAAAAAGAACCCGTGAAAAATCACTTCAAATCTTCATAAAAGCCTTTTTAAAATCCCATTTCCTATACCTAGACCATAAAGGGTTTTTTTGTTTGATTTTTTTTTAAACTGGAGAAAAGCAGATGTTGCCCCAGTTGAGGGTAGCAAAATCATCAGCTGGGTGCAGCTCTGGTCAGGGGAAAAAGGTCACAAGCAGAGAGAACACTGACAAAACCCTTCTGCCTCTTGCAAGGTCTGGCTACACGCTGATGCACAAGCAAAGTCCATGTTCAAAGGAAAAAAGAAGAGAGCTGTAAATCCAAAAGAAGGCTCTAGAGAGGTATATTTTTAACACAGCAACTTTCTGGAATGTACATAAAATAATCACCTTTTGCGCCCAGGTATTCCTTGCAGAGGTGCTGTGTGGGACGCTTTTGAAATGCCCTCTTAGCTATTCTACAGATGGAGAACAAAGAGATTTACAAGTCTTTGTCATTGGTGATGACACAGAGGAACTTCATGAATAGTTCTGAGTCAACCTATGGCAAATTTCTTTGCAAAATGAAACACTCATCCCCCCAAAATCCTTCAATCAAGAAACAAAAGAGTTCTTTCTTCTTATTGATTTGAAAAATTATGTTTCCGTGTAGCCTTGAAATATCATTTTAGAAAAAAAAAAGTCAAACATTCAACTTTGAAAATGTCAAACATTTTTTTTAAAATTGTGATTTAGTTACTAGCCTCAAGTCCTGTTATAAAGTATTTGAGACGAGCTGTTCTTTGCATGGTTTTTAAGAAAACAAACTTCAACAGCTGAATATTTTATACATATCAAATGCATCAATGAGCAGAGAAAGTACAGTATGGGAAAGAAATATGCGTTTCAATCCTAAAGCTTTTACTATGAGACATCTAATTCTACAACCAAAAGGGTATTAAGAAAAAATTGTAAAATAAAGATCAAAAAGAAAAGAAACTGAGAAATTATAGCAGAAAATATTTTATGAATACTTCATCATGTTGGAAAGGTATATGCAAACAGCATGAAAACTAAACAACAGGTGAAAAAAGAACTGCTGAAGAAAATGACAAAACCCAAAAAGGCGTAAACTGATCCCTGTGGGGCTTTGGGCTGGAAACAGTGCTGTCACTGAGATTCTGGATTTAAAACCTAATTTTAAGGTGGCACTCAGTTTATCAAAGGATTGCATAGTATTGACATTCTGGATAGCAGGAAGCAAAGTTCCTTCCAAGAGGTGGACCCCTGTCCCGTATTGCTGGGAGCAGAGAGATGCTCTCAAACCCGTTGTCACAGGGCAGGGGTGGTGGGAGCAGAGCAAAGGGAACAGTCACAAGGAAACTTCTTTTAGGAGAGTCAGAGCTCACAGCTCCCAGTCCAGCCCTGAGATTTAGTCTTGGCCACCACAGTTTGAAAAGCTCTAAAGGAAAATGCTCAGACTGGTTCAATAGAATATTGTATTTCAAAAGTTACTTGTTTGATTTCATTTATAACTGATACAGCTCTAGTTATGTGATTTGCTGGCATTTTGAGCATATTAGAGCAGCTATTAAAAATGCAGCATAGAAAAAGCCCTGCTGGTGAGGCAGAAAATTGACATTATTTCAACAAAACAAAAATCTGCTTGCCTATCAGTGGTCTGTAAAGCCCTTTAGACTAGGAAGGCCAAATTCTACCAAATGCAAGAGACATTTAAAAATAAAAATAAAGGAACATTGCAGGAAAAGTGTTATGAAACACAAAGAAATATCTCTATTGCCCAACCCAAATTACCCAGTTCTGTTCAATATACAGTACAAAAAAAGGGGTTTTTTCCAGCTCTGATCGTTTTTAGTTAGGAAAACACTGAGGCTTGCATGATTGTAATTTAAGTAGTTAGCTCACATTTGAAATATCCTTTCTGTGAGGAAATATTTTGTGAAATTTATTCTTAATATTCCTTTTGCTAAGTTTATTCCCTTATGTTTTGGGAAATTTCACCGTTCTCTTTTGCCTGTACAATATTTATAGCCTTAATCTAACCCTCTCACTTAGGCAGATGTCATCAGAGTTCCCTTAAGCCTTAGATTAGCAAGACCATGCTTTCCTGAACGTGGGTAGCATTTAAAAATGAGCAGGATAACTGAGTATTTGCAACTGATGTTTTATAAAGCATAAAATTACTTTTTGAATGTTTCGCCCACATGCTTTTGTATTGCTCTTTGAGCTTCAAGGAGGAAAGACATTCTTCTTGATATGCATAATTTAAAGTGGTTTTCTATTTCACACACAACCTCGGGTATTTTTTAGGACAATAAAGTATTTGAACACTAAAGCTCCCAGATTAAGAAAAAAAAAATCTGTCCCCATATGTTCCTCTTGCAATCTGGCTGAGGAGGAATAAGTGTCACTGATAATCATGGGTACTCCACAGATAAGCCCTTTTCCCCCACACTTTTCAGCTAGAGCTAACTGGATTTTAGCCAGAAGATGCAGGTTTTTGAAAGTTAAAGCTTTGGAACTTTGTGCTCCCACCCATTTATATTTACGAAATCTTGTGGGTGCCACCAGACAACATTTCATTTCCCACTTGCTTTTCCTCACTTGGCAGTGGCCAGAATACAGAGGATGCAGTAACCCAAACCTGCTGGAGGTTGTGAGGTCCTTTAGCTCCCGTTCTTCGCCATGAAGTCCAGCAGGATCTCCCAGTTCCTGTATTTTGCAGCAGATAAAACAGGGCTGGGCACTTGAGCATTGTCATCTGCACTGTCTTGTGGTTAGCAGTCCACTCCTGGCATGGCATGGGTTCATCAGCAGGAGCTAAATTTGATCCCCACCTTCATACAGAGAAGGGCAGGAGATGCCCAGGCTCTTCAGGCCCATGTTTCTTTGGGTGAGTAAAGTTGCAGATGGAGTTAAAGGCAATCTTGTTCTGATCCTGAGCTGAAGCATTTTCTTTTTCCTCCTAGGAAATGTTTTGCAGTCTTTCTCACTTCAAGGTGCATCACTAGGCCTGCAGTAGGGCAGGTCTGAGGTCCTTCACATCCATAAGTGATGTTCACTTGGTGGCATAGAGCTACCATTTGCATTTCATGTTTCTGACTTGCTGACCCTGACCAGTGCCTTTCTCAGAGTGTTTCAGATTCAACAGGCCCTAAGCATCCTTAAATAAAACTTGCAAAATACAAGCTCTTAATGACATGACAATTTATCATGAGAAAGAGATGAAATCCTTTTTCTCCTTTGAAGTCTTTTCAGCACCGGCCAGCTGCAGGCTAAAATTCCCTTTCTTCACAGAATTTCCTCCTCCTCCCTGCCTTTCTGTCAATAGTGCTGTGAGGGTTCACTCTCACCAACAACCCCACTGACACTGTCTGTTTGACTCTGTTACACAGAAAGGCAGGCAAAAGTGCTCATTGGAGTGGCCTGGAGCCTCTCCTTCCTGTTTTCCATACCCACTCTGATTATTTTTGGGAAACGGCAGCTCTCCAATGGGGAAGTGCAGTGCTGGGCTCTCTGGCCTGATGATTCCTACTGGATCCCCTACATGACAATTGTGGCTTTCCTGGTGTATTTCATTCCTCTGATCATAATCAGGTAAGTCCAAAGCCCAGTCAGCAAATGTGTGGTGAATGCTGTCAAGTGTGCAATCAGCTTAATGCTTTAATTTCTAGTCATTCATTACAATTTCATTTCCATACCTGCTGCATAGCTGTTTTGGTTTTTATCACATAATACAGGGGTCATTGTACTTGCCCTGGGTGTTCTCTGTGTGGTATTAGCAGCCAGAAACATTTTCTCTGAAAAAAGGAACGAATCTCTAAGTGTGTCCACTTATCTCCACAGCTTCGGGCTTGAAAGATATCTTTATAAACCCAGTATGAATATTTATCCATTATTACAAAAGATAATTTTAATAAAAGAACAGGAAACTGCACTTAACACTAATTAAACTAAAATTAACTTGAAGTGCTCTCAAGCTTCACAATACTCGACAAGGATTCCTTCACCAGGATTGGAAAGAAATCTCCAAGTGCTCCAAGTAGTTGTCAATTACTCCTAAAGTATGAACAAATGTACTTGTTCCTGTCTTGTAATAGGAAACCTAAGCTAGGAAACCTAAGCAGATATTTGAGACTGATTTGCCTCAAATCACAAAGGCAATCTGCAGAAACTGTATAAAACTGAGGTCAATCAATATCGCAGACTTAGTGATCAGCCTCCCTCTAGAGCACTGCCATTAGCTGCTGTGCAACAGAAGGTAACTGGCCATGAGGAGCCACCAATGCACAAGAGCAGTCAAAATCAGATGTGGAAGGGGAGTGAGGTTTCCTAACTGCCTCAAAATGCTGCCAAGTGTCAGTGACAGTTCTCAGAGCCATTACTGTTCTTTCTTTCACTAGCAAGGTTACAATTGTATTTCTTGGTGTCCATCTCTTCTTGTCAGCAGCAAGAAAGACTTGCTGGGACTCCTGTTTTCCCTCCATAATTTGGTGCTGCTTGGACTCTGAGAGAAGAACTGTTTTTGCAATGTCCCTTGGATTTATCTCTTGTTCCAGCTGCTTTTCCAACGAGTGATGAGCCATGAGTGTCCCTTAGCTTCCTGCTCATTAATGCCTGGGTGAGAGTGGGGTGGGCAGAGACTGATCTCTTCTAGATGATGACAGGAGTGACTACATAACCTTGAAGTTTATTACTGTTTTATCACAGAGATTAATTTTGGCAGCTTTTAGTGGTAACTAGTTTATCTTTGATAGAATCAAAACCATGTGGTGCTTGAACTCATCTAGCTGACTTTTGGATACAGATTCAAAATGGACCAGCGTTGCTCCCTAGAGAGAAGGGATGATTTTTACACATGGCTCATAACATGTCAGTTCACTAAACCTTCCATTTTTTGTGCCAGATTGCATAGATATAACCAAAAAAATCAAGAAAGTTCTCCTTAAAGAAAAGTTTGAGAAGAAAGGAAAAACTACTCCCAAGTTATCCTTCCTGGGTGGGATAATTTCTCTGCATGTTTTCCTGTCTCTGAAAGCCAGCCAAGTTTTCAATATGCAGAAAAAATATTCTTGGGAATATGTAAATAAAAATGTGGGTAGATCTGCAGCCCAGCAGTAGCAGCAAAAACAATAAACATACACTGCACAGACAAAAAGCAATTTAACATGAAAAGAAATGGCACCAGAAAATTTTGAGGCTGGCTGTTACTGTGAAACGGGTTCTTTTATGAGCTTTCTCAAATAGGCAGCAGTTGGGAAATTCTAGCCAGCATCTTAAGTGTTTCAGGAAAAAAGACCCCACAGCCTGCCCAGTTACCAGTCATTCCACAGGTGTGTGAAACATCTCTTTCACACTCTAACATACACATAGATTTGCATGGTTTCTGTTACAGACCAGCCACTCCTTTTACACGCCATCTATACTTGTTTGGCAAGAAAAGGCAAGCTACAGAGCAATAAATATTTCAGAGCTGCTGACATTATGCTCCCCTCCTCCCTGCCAAAGAAAGATATTCAAACCAGATCAGCTCTGTGACTTGCTTTACAGTAAATCCCCAGAAGCAAGAAGGTGATGAAGACATGAGGGGAAGGAGAAAGGCAGTGAAACTGGCATTTCATGAGATTGTCCTGACATCTGACACATGAATAAAACATCCTAAATTTTTTGTGGCTTTAACCTTAAGCAACATTCACACAAGAAGTTTATGGCAGGACAGGAGCTAAAACCACTGGTTTTGGAGCCAGGGGCAGCACAGTGTCCATCACCTGCCCAGAAACGTTCCTGGTTTCAGTGTTTTTTAACACAAATGCTCCTGTGTCCTTGCCAGCAGAAAAAAGACTTTTGACAGGTCCAAAGTGGTGTCTGGCACTGGAAGGAAGGAAGGGGAGTGGTGCAGAGAAGGATTTATTTTGTGCTTATTTATTTCTAGCTGTCAGTGATACTATTTTCTTCAGAACAGAGAGGATTGTCTAAAACCACAGAAAAAGAGGATTAGCTACAGGGCAAGGTCAGCAGAGACATTATGAAAAAATGCCATGCAATTTGGAAGGAAATGGCTATTTTTTAGAACACTTTTTTAAGTCTCAAGCATAAAAGTGAAGGTTGCAGCTTCCCAGCCGATGTATCTGTAAAACATCTGGCAACATAGCCTGAAGGTGTGACATCTATTCCTTTAAAAATCATTGGCAGTCCCGAGTTTAAAGCTAATCCACCTGATGTGGCTGCAGCATACAAATACTCTGGTAAGCAGTTTGTGGCTCAAGAACAGCAGGAATGGCTGCTAATACCCCCTGGGACTCAGTTTCTCTGTAAAAGTTTTATTCCATCCAATACTTTCAGATGCACAGGAGGTTTGATGATAAATGAGATGCTATTTCATAAGGGTGAGAGGAATCACATATGTTCCAGTTGTGTGTTACTCTGACAAGAGATTACTTATAAAATGAAAGGTGTTATTTAATAAATTTAGGAAGGCTTTTTTTTTTTTAATTTGATGACCTTTAGTTGAAGATGTTACTTAAAAAAAGCCACAACATAAAACGGAGAGAAGATCCATAAATGTGTGACTGAAAGGTCAAGGATCAGTAGAAGAAGCCATGAATACATATAAGCCAGAAGCTAAGTCATACACCACACTTAGTGAGGCAGCAAGGCAGGGTGCACACAAAGAAAAAAAATTAAACATTTTCTGCAAGAATTCATATTGTTTGCACAGCTACTTTATTTTCTCTGCTGAAGCACTCTGATTTAGCCGCATGGCAGGTGTCTGATGCAATGTGGGACACTGGCTGCCAGAGTTAATTCTTAATTAGTTCTGCTGCCTGAATCTGCTGAAAACCTAACCTCTAGAGCAAAGCAGTTCACTGATGACAGCACTTTTTCTGGTGCTGTTCATCTGAAGTGCATACAAAGGATAAAATCTTACTTTTCAGGTGCAGGACTTAATTCCACACTAGATATGCTGCTTTGGCTGAGCTGTTTTCACTTGTTACAGTTCAGACACCATCATCTTTTAAGCTTCTCTCATCCAGCTCTCAGCTCTCTCTGTAGAGCTGATCTCACGTGTTCCTGACAGCCTTCAACTAACTCACAGGAGTTGTGTTATTCATAACTCTGCAGCCCATGGAATGAATTATTTAGCTGATAACCTTATGCTCACCATGGAAAACCCTTCCACTGACAAGCTAAACCCCCAGATGTGGTGTGAGCAAACTCTACAGATTCCAAGCCAAAACATGAACCAGAAGAACACAGCACTCTTTCCCCCTCACCCCCTGCTTTTTTAAAAATGTATGTATAGAAAGGTAATTTATGGAGAAAACTGCAACAACCTGAAAGACCTTAATACTTATGAGGTTTATTCCTACAACTTCTTCACAACTAGAGAATCAGCAATCAGTTACCAAAAAGCTTGTGGTTTTTCAGCAAGTTTTTTTATCTGATTACAATACCAATGAACAAGACCTCAATAAAGAAAAGAAAATGAAAAGCCAATGAAAAATACCACACTTGGTATTTTTAACCCAAGTGTGTGGATATCTTTGAGAGCTGAAAAAAGTGGAGAATATTTGTTCTTTTCATATTAAAACTTCCCTTGTCCCCACTGCCTCAGTGTTGTACAAGAAGAACAACAGATCCTGAGTCAGGCATTTCTATACAATGCTTAAAAATTTGGCCTGTTCCCTCTTATTTACATTATTCTACCACTTCTTCTGCAGTTGATATTATCAACCTATGAAACCACAGAAGATTCAAAAAAATTAATTAGGGAACCTGCAGTAATTAGCTCTCTCCTCTTCTGGGACAAGTGTCATCAGCTATAACCAAAGCCTTTTCTCCTATTCCGAAACACACCAAGCAAAGCTGAAATGGTATCTGTGATTGTTGAAAACCTCTGGGACACTGTTGAACAGAGGTTAAATGTGGCTCAAATCAAGATTACACACTGCTCTCCTGCAAATATTTGCACCTGGGCCCCTCAGAACCTGCGATGGGGAAACAGAAGAGCTACTGTGTTTCTAGTCTGCATTGCTACTCTGTGCCAAAACATAATTATGTTCTGGCACTCGAGTATCCAGAAATTCAGAGTTTTTTAGCTGTTATTTATGATTGCTAAATATATTTTTTATATTTTAAAATTATAAATATGATACGTAGACATTTACCTAATATAATTGCAAACTCATGTTTTAAAAAAAAAATGCTAAAACTCCTCTTGAAGCACAGAGGAAAAAGATATCCATCTGCTGTTTAAAATCTGAACTCCAAAGAGAGCATTTGCTTTGGAGCAGCTGAAAAATAATTAGAAGAGAAAAAAACCAAAATCAGCTAAAAGGAAAAATATGGAATTAAACCTAAGGCATTGTAATGAAATAAAAAATAGATTAAACAAAAGGTATTTCTCTGGATTAAATCAAATAAAAGGACTGGAAATGCCATTAATAAAAATACCAAAGGTCATTTTTTGAACTTGATTCAGTGAGGCTATTCTCTTTTGCTTGCAATTTCCATTTCTAAATAAAAACCCTGGATCTTGCACACATGTTCTAGTATCTGTCCATCTCTTCACTTACCCATTACATGTGACTACAATGGTTTGTTCAGATGAGGTTACTTTTCTCTTCAGACAAATAGTGCTGTAAATTAGCTGCCATAAAACAAAGCAGCCACATCACTTTGCACAAATAAAGTATAGGGAACAATAGGCAATACTGGATGATAAATAGAAGTAATTAACAGGGAGCTTAAGTGCACTTTTGCCATGGTAAAGGGTCATTTTACTAGAAAATACTGAGGCTGTGTGGGACGCCCTCATAGTGCAATTATTTATTTCCAAAAAATCTACATTTAAAGAGTGGGCAGATCAATAACATTTAGGATTGTTAATATCAGCACATAGCTTTACCAGAAGACATTTTATTAACAAAAAAAAAAAAAACAAAACAAAACAAAAAAACCAAAAAAACTGGTCTATGAATTAAAAATACAGATGGGGTGTGATTATTCACAGTTGCATTTGTATGACTAACCATAAGTTACATATTTACATGGATAAAAAATGCTGTAATTACCAATGAGGCATATTGAACAACATCATTAACTAATAGCAGGCTATGATGGACATGCCTCTTAACCTTTTAAAATTTGGATCAAGTTTTTGGAGATGCAAAGAATTTAATTTCTGAGATACCCCCATAATGTGAGCCATATTTTTGTATTTTTCTCCCACCTCTCAAGATACCCATTTTATTAGGGTTAGAAAAATCATCACAGCATGTCCTTTCTATCCTGTGGTCTTCAAAGCCTGAGCAGCCACTTTTCAGAATGGCTTGGATGAATTTTCCATCCAGGCTTGACTTTTCCACCTTAGTACCTTTTCATTAGTCTCTCACCTACAGCCTGGGCTGGAAGATCAGTGTGCTGTGCACTTACAGACACAAAGAACCCTGACAACACCTGGGCCTCAAGAGCTGCACATCACATCTCCCTGTGCTTTCGGGGGAGACAAGGGCCAGCAGCATGCAGGCCTGTTGCATGGGTTAAAAAAAGAGCTTTGTGGCAGTGTGTGCCACAGGCTTTTACATCTTGGCAGTGAGGGCTGAGCAGTTCAGAGTCCAGACGAAGGGAGCAGAAATCAGGATATGGTTGGAATAGTGCAGACTATTTCCAAACACTCCTCTGAATACCAGTTTGTCATCTGTTCCCTGCTACTCTTTGCTCATCTGCCACTTCATTTTTCAAGTGAGAATTTCTTTGAGATTTGACCAACCTCTGGATCCTCCTCCAGCTGCCTTTTACAAGAAAGAAAGCTACAAATGTATTCTGAAAAAAGCTGATTTTCCCTCGTAAGAAAAATACTTCTCTTCCATAAGAGCCCTCTTTTTACTTTTGTGGCTTTGAAACACACATGCAGTTGCCTGTTATGATCCTATGCTTTGGGAAACTTGTTTCTGGAAAGTCCAATTTCTCAGCTCCATGTCAACATTGCTGGGGAAAAAAATAAAGAAAAGGGTCAGGCATTAATACAAATTAGAGTCCCAGGGAGGTCAAATTATAAATGAATAACTGTGCCTGGCATAAGAACTGCTCAGAAGTCTACCTAGCATGTAAACTTCCCTGACACCCACCCTGAGCAGCTTTACACCACCTCTGGTCCACTCTTGATAAGGAAGGCTCCATTGGCTTCAGCTACAGAGAAAAGAAACATGAACAGAAGCAAAAACACCGACACAGATCCACTATGCTGGCAGCATTTTGTGAAGCTGCTGAATGAAAACAAGAATTCAGCTTTCCTCTGGAGCTCTAAAAATTAAGGATTCAAATGAATCAGCATGTAATCTCATTGGTGAAATGCCAGTGAGAAGACAGATGATGTAACTCTATCTGGCAAGAGACATGCCCCTACCAGACTGCAGCCAAGAGGGCAGAAATTCTGGGGTCAAGGCAAAGCAAGTGAGGAGCCTGGCCTCATAATTCAGTCCTTATGGCATTTGGCTGAAAGTAAGGATATTTTGGCTACAGAGTTAGACTCCTTTGTCCTGATGCTTAAGAAACTCTGAATCTTTCCTGCTGGACAAAGGAAAATCTGCATTAGAAGGGACATTGTCTCAGCTGCAAATAAAGAGGTCAGGCTAGAGGCAGCAGGCTAGGAAGAAAATAGAAACAGGACTTTTAAGAGTGAGCCGGTAAAATTTCTGAGATGACAACAATTATCATTATAATACATTCTGATTCATTGGAACAATCAAAGGAGAAATGTACATGAATTTTCCACCATTGTCTGTAAAAAGTACAAAGAAACTCTCGAGTTTCAAGTGCATGAGCTGTTAAATAAACAGGTTCTTGAGAAGCCAGGAGATAAAAGGAAAATGTTCAAATCAGCTGGGAGCCAAGCTGGACTTTTGAAGGGATTAAGGGGAGCAAGCTGTAGTCCAAGCTGTAGGCAGATGTGAGCAAACCCCTCACTGGGCAGGGACGCTGCTGCTTCTCTGCACACCCAGACTGCACCTTGAATTTACAGCTCTCACCTACTGAGCCTGGAAACCAGATGGCTCAGACTTCCACAGAAAGGGAAACCTCCAAACCTTCATCATTTTCTGAGCACAAATTCTGCCTTTGCAAGCATTTGAAGGTGGTGTAGGAAAGGCTCATATATTAGCCTAATAAGGAAAGGACTAATAAGTGTAATGCCTCTTCTGATAACAAAAATAAGCCATATAACAGTAAGACACGTTTTTGCCTCTATAAAACACCCTGAAATTATGTCCTTTGTTGCACCTATTTCACATAAGGACCACTAAGGTTTATGACAATTAATATCCTCAAGCAGGAGGTGGTTTAAACAGCTCTTCATCTTGAAGGAATAATTTTTATCTATTCTATATTGTCAGTAGAAGTCCAGATTGGCTATTGCACAGGGAAACTCCATAACTATGCAAGGTCACTGTATACTAAGACACCTTTCATCTTTCCTATTGAAAGTATATAAACCTCTCTAAATATGCAAATTGTGGTGGATCTGATTTTGAATCATCTAACTCTTCCCATTTATCTGACACTTCATTTCTCCTTGATTTCCACCACAGGACACTGAGATCCAAAACTGAGCACTGCTGTATTTATTTGCATTTCTCATGGATCTTGCCCTTATCTAATTCCCCAGGGCGAAATTTTATTCACCAGCTTCATATCCAAAAAGCAACAGCAAAATTGAAGTGTACATACAGCAAAACAGGTCCCTCCCTTCCTTCCCTCATCAGAGCTAGTGCTGCAGGGCTGATACTCAGATGGATTTGGCATTGGCTGGCTCAAAATCACCAATGAGCTCTTGCCTGAAAGATTTTTTGCTGAATCACTACATTCCTCTGAGCCTCAGATTTGACATCTACGAAGCCAGGACAACCATATGGACTTCCATGGTGAAAAGTCTTCACTTTTCAGTACAGAAAAGTACTCTGGGAGAGTCATATCATAATTATTATTATTATTGTCATTTACTATTTATTTCATATTTATTCCTATGAAGTTCTACCACCTCTGTGAACTCCTTATACATGGACAAGTATATTCTTAGAGCACAAATGGCTGGGATGTCTGTTAAATTTATTGTGCCTAATACCAGCAACTTTTCCCCTTCTGCAGTGTCATATACTCAATTGTGATTCGAACCATCTGGATGAAGAGCAAAGCTCAGGCTGTCATCCTATCCAGCTGTCCTGGTGAGTCTCAGCATACCTGTGACTCCAGCTTTGTGATTCAATTCCAGCTGATCCTCACAAATCTGGGAGTGCTTGTACATGCACGTGTCATGGTGGGCCCCTATCGCTGTGGTGGGAATGGGGTTTCTGTATTTGTTCATTCAAAACTCATTTCTACATTACTTACCTTCTTCCCTTTGACACTAAAATCTCTTTAGAGGCATAATAGGAAACATCTGTGAGAAAATGAATAAAAAATAAAATCTACTTGTTCTAGAAGTTAGAGTTCCTATTCCTAGAACTTTGTCCATTTCCAGAATAGATTTTTTCTAGCATATACTTGGCAACACTTTTTCTGTGTCTTCACATGTACTTGCAAGTCTAAATTTTGCTCAAGATCAGAAATTCCTGGCCACAGAAAGCTAGAAAATGATTGGAGTATTCCATCCCAAGACTACACATTCCTCAAGCAGATCTCTTTGAGGATCTACTCTGCTTACTTTTTCCTTTTTTATTTTGGGCGGCTCAGGTTTTGATTGTCCAACTTGCGCAGATTTGCACATGTCCAAATTTCAGGAACTACTGAGGTCCTAAGTGACACCAGGGAAAGATGAGATTGTGTTTTCCTGTCCTGCCTGCCAAGGTGCACACTGACACATCCACACACCAGTCTTGTTCTTTCACCAGCTGAACTGTTCTTTTCCCAGGTGGCAAAACCTCCCGTGGCTACAGCAGCCGTGGGTTCATATCCAGGGCCAAGGTGAAGGCGATCAAGTACAGCATTGTAATTATCCTTGGTAAGTGAAAAGCCCCAGAGCTGGGAGCTAGGGAGGAAGCTGACATTAGGAAGCTGCTTTTCCTCTGTCATCAGCAGACAAAGTGGATGGCTTGGAGAAGGAGCTTTACTCAGACACCTGACTTGCCTTCTGATCCTGTCCTTCCCCTCTTTTCTGGCTGATATATTTCCATTTTAGGTACCTGACATAACCCTTGAATAAAATTAGATGCACAGCCCCTCGTGTACATAAAGAAAGTGAAGAGACAATGTCTAAAAGGAAGAAAGGAAGAGGACATCTCTTTCCTATCCAGACGGCCAAAAGATTTGGCAATTGAGTAGTCTTTTAGGCTTAGAGACACACTATATGGCCTGTGAGCTGCTGGGGTGGTGCAAGGGAGAGAAGAAAGGTGAGATGTGCAGCAATTGTATTTAATGTCACAGGTGTGTTGCCTGCCAAGATGGAAAGAAGGAGCTCTCCTTTCCCAACTGGGCAGCAGATGACTTAGTGCAGGTGTTCTCTGTCTCCCAGGGAAATTACATTATTCTGATGCAATTAGGAGGCTGATATTCTATCTCAATAAATAAAGGCAGCATCACACAGAGCTTATGATTAGCTGCCAGAGACATGCAGGAAAGGAACTAAAGCTGTTTACTCCCAAGGGCTGACAGTCATCCCTTGACACTGAAAAAGAGATTGCTTCTCTTTCCAACAATGTGCAAAATTCAGATTGGAGAATATTGTGATAACAGCCACTTGAGTAGCTTAGCTCACTGTCTAGAGGCAGCATCTGCAGACATGAGAGAGGCCAGTGTGATTCATATTTTCCATAGGCCCAAGAACAGCGTCTCTGCATCTGAACTTTTCTGCATGGCAATCAGAGAAAGCTTTTGGCAGACACAACTACTACTGCAAGGCCATCAGGTGTTGAGAACTCACATGGATGCTCAAGTATTTCAACAGACCTTGATAATATTAAGCACCCAGCATCTCTTGATGTGCAAACAGATTGACACCTAACATCCATGGATTTTTTCAAAGCCACTTAAAGTTCTGCATAGTGAGTGCTATGATCCACACTCTGGCACTGTGTATTGCTATTTTGCATGTATCTATGCACAGACACCTCCTGTTTGGTTGTTCTAAAAACAGGAGGGGAGCTTACCTCTTCCTTGTACTTTTAGTGAGCCCTCAGCTGACTGCCAGCGAAGAAATTCTGATTAATGAGACAAGGAAACAGGCACAGGTTTACTCTGCTGTCTCCTCTGAATCAGGATGTCATCATGTGTCTGATTTCACAATTACCTGTATGTTTTCAACCCAGGTACTTATAGCTTAGTTGAGTGAACTACCTGTCCCAGCATTTCTATGCAAATCCTGAATCAAAGGCCTTTGTGAGAAGAGATGGCACAGAAATTTGTGTGAGACAGATTTATTTCCTATGCCTGCAAATAAAGATAGATCCATGGCTAACAATTTTTTTTCCCCTGTCACTCTGAACCAAAGCAGAGGCTATGAGCAGACAGTCCTCTCTTCCCGTCCTCAAATTCATCTCTCAAATGGCAGTACAGGAAACCAGGAGAATCTCCCTACACACTCCACGTACACAGCGTTTCCATCCAGCATGCCGAGTGGCATGTTGGTTTGCCATAATGCAGTGTGAAAGGGTGTCACTCCTTGCTCCTGGGTGTCTGAGAACCTTATTTTAATAGGTGGCTGTGACAGGCAGCGCTGTCACGGAGCAGCACTTTGGCTGTGTGTACATTTAGATTGGCTGCTCACTCCGGGGACCATTAAAAGAGCACTTCACTATAACTGATGATGCTTTAACTGGCTACCTATTTACCCTTTATGTGTTGTGTAGTGTTCAGAAGTGTCTCAATATGTCTAGAGGGAGCACTCTAAACACTTAGAGAAACACACGTAATATTTTTTAAAGGCATTAAAATAAAAATAAAGACCAATAAAAGCACAATCTAATAAGTATTCTCTTAAATAAGATCCTGAATGGGGAGAGGGGTTTTTTTGCATGAACAAATATTTATGTGTTATGACAGTTGTTCCATGAGTGTGTAATTACTTCCCTAAATTGCTAAACTATCCAGTGTCAAGCTCTTCCTCTCTCTGTCTCGTCTGCAGCATTTATTCTCTGTTGGAGCCCTTACTTTCTGTTTGATATCCTGGACAACTTCAACATACTGCCTGAGACCAAAGAGCGCTTCTACGCATCTGTGATTATTCAGAACCTGCCAGCCCTGAACAGTGCTGTCAACCCCCTCATCTACTGCTTCTTCAGCAACAGCCTCTGCCCCCCTTCCGAGTATTGCTCCTTTACTGTCACTCTGACTACCCCTAAGAAGGGAGGGAACACATAAACACAGTCCTTAAACTGATTAACTGTTTTTGACTCCTTTAATTCTGACCATTCTTTATTTTTTTGTAGGGAAAGAAGAACTCAAAGGCTGGGGGGGACTTTGCGGGAAAGGAGCGATGGAGGGCAGGAGATGCAGGTCCTGTCGAAACCAGAATACATCTAGCACTGACAGTGTTCTGCAAAGCCACACTGGCACCTGTACAGAGGAAAACAGAGGTCCCCCACAAGCCCTGTGCACGATGAAATGGACGGACAATTCCTGGCAAGAGCCTGCACCTTGTGCTCCTGTGCACCTTACAGCACGCGTTTTGGGTGGGCACTGCAGCCTCAGCAATTGCACACTGCCAGTGCCAAGCTCACTATGATAGGTTTGCATGCCTCTGTTGTGGGGTTTCATCTTGACCCTCTGTTTAAAGCAAGCTGTAATCTATGTGCTCCAAACAGAAAAAAAAAAATGTAAATGGTGTCTAGTCAGAGTCTTCTCTATTTTTCAGGAGTCACTAAAAGCCATCTACTACACCATCTGGCTCTTATAACCAATAGAGTGTTTACAAGCAATTACAGAGCAAGGACCCCAGCTGAAATGAAAACACAGCACTTTTCCAATGAGAAAACACCATTGTCACTCTGTGTAATTATATCTGGGTTTCATATGGAGCAACTTACAAAATTATAGCCAGAGAAGTGGGGAATGGATGGCTGGGATACTGCCTGCCACATCACCAGGCCCAGCCTCTCAGATCACACCAGCAGCACTGTCCCTGTACCTCTTCATCCCCTTCCAGCGTGTTATTTCCCTGCTGTCCTACCTTTGCACATCAGTGGCACCCCATTGTCCCAGCAGGACTCACACATGACACATCTGGACAGCCATTTATTTCTGGGATAATGGTGAATGGTTCAACAGCCCTCCCCAGAACACATGGTGCACCCCACATGCAGATCCTTCCACACTTCTGTGGCAAAGGCCCTGAGCAGCTTCTTCAGGATCCTATGGGAGCTGCCATGCAGGGCACTTGGCCAGAGCAGATCTTCCTCACCACCCACATGGCAGCACTTCCCTATCCCATTCCACTGTAAATCACCCCTGTCACTTAAATCATGCAGGGAACCACACACATCTTTGCACAAACTCAGAGCTGGAAAAAGACCCAAGCAAAACCACAAAACTCGAATTACATTTAGAAAAAATAATCTGTTGATGGTCCAGTCTTGTGAACTCATTATAGATTTCACTGAGGACCAATGCTCAGGCCGAACTTTGCTACTGAGCGCCCAAGCACCTGGGCATCCCCTTTCCCCAGCCCTCTGGGTATCTTCCCACCACTCAAATATAGGGAAAAATTTCTCATGCAGCTGGGGGAGGTGACATTAACTTCAATGTTCATTTTCCAACAAGGCAGCTTGAAGTGTTTGTATTAAAAATGCACTCTAACCAGCTGTATGGCAACTGAGTTTGTTTCCTCTCAGTGAAAGAAATTGTTTTTACTTAAGTGGACGCAGTTTAAAAAGGGGTTTTTATTATTATGATCTTTTGCAATGAGTTTGTTCCCTGTAAAGCAAGAACTGAATAAAATTTATTTATAATTGCCCATATTACAAAAATACATTTTCCTAAGTAGGAGACATATAAAATCATGGGGCTTTATGTTCTCAGGAAAATAAATAAGGTATCTCTTTTTATTACCATGAAGTTCTGTTATTTAGACTCTGTGTCTAAATTTTGCTACTGCTTAATTAAAACTATGAATCTGCAGCAGCCTTTACTGCAGTGACCTTGGATAGGCTGTATATAAGAACAAGACAATATTTTCTTCCCATGGGCATGTAATAACTTTCCTAAAATTGGACTGCTTTGTTTAAGTTTCATAGATTGTAGAATTTAGCTTTTTCATCTGATAAATGTACACTCACCACCTACTTTTGAACAATTAATGGAGTTTTTAGACTCAATACCTGGAAATCAGATAACATTTCTGAGCAGTACTTTGATTTGCAAATTTAGTATGACTCAATCCCACTAAAATTTACATAATAGTCACTAGGGTCACCACATGAATTATCCCATCCATCTAAGTTGAGCATTTGCATGAGTTATGTCGGACTCTGGACTGAAATAAAGTCATTATCAATCTATTTTCAAAGAAACAGCTTTTTGTTTCATTCATTATTCTACTATGTACCATTTACAAGTTGTTCTTAATAATTTTTCCTCTGGACATGATTGTGATGCCTTTCCTCATATGAGAATCCTTCAGTTTAAATGGCCTCACACTGCTTTTGTCTGCATCCCTTGCAAGTGCTTAAATACAGAAATAAATAATTCATCTTATTTTCCATGCTGCTTTCTTACTGTGCAGGAGACGGCATTTTACTACCTTTTTTCTATTCTCCACATCTTCTGTTGTAAAGCTGAGTTTTCCCATTAGTCTGGAAAACACTTGCACACTCCTTCTTTGTCTCTGGGGAAGAGAAATTTAGGGAATTTCATCTGTCTCCAGCAGGTTTCTTATTCCTTGTCTGCAACTCACCCCACATCTGTTGGCTGTTTGGTTGCCTAAAGGTGCCAGAGTTGCTCTGACAGACCCCACCCTTAGGAGGAGGCAGCAAAATTCAGTGTTGAGGTCTGAGTGCCCAGAGATGGGGGCAGAGCACAACAAAAAGAGGGCACCCAGCTGGCTTGTCCATGACAGCCCAGGAGCAGCTCTGCTTTTCAGCAGCTTTAACACTTCCAGAGGCATCTGTGAGATCCTTCTGACATTGCCACAGTGAACAGAAATATTCACCCACATGACTGCTAGGACATAAAGCCTTGTGTGATGATAAAGTCCTGTTTGACTGTAGATTCCTGAGAAGCATGAAAAATCAGACACCCATCTCTCAGAGAAGCCACATCAAACAGCATAGGACTAGGATCCTTTCCAAACTAACACTAATCCAAGAAAACATGTATGCTTTCAGTGCAAGTTTGAAATAAAATCTGAATGAGAAAGCTATTTAATTCTCTTTTGGATATTTTTGATGTAATTTAAAGTTCAGTTCTCTTGGACCAGATTTCCATCTCTTGCTAAAAGTGTAAAGCAGCATTTTGTCTTTCAGTTTGGTTTTGCCTCGGAAATTTCTGTCTCCTCTTTTTATTTTTACTTTGAAAAAACTAATGCCAGGCAGCAAAATTCAACATTTCCCATTGTGACCACTGTAGAACATCAAAGCAAAACTCTACCTACAAATGTTTTTCTACCTAGAAATGTGTTTCACCATCCTGCACATTGCCAAACGAGTGCTAAGACGTGCATTATCATTCCAAGAAAAGAAAAATTTAGCCATTACTTTGTTGTTTGTAGGTTTGCGGCTCTTTTTGAAATATATTTTTCATAGAAATATAATTACACTCTTTGAGATGACACTGAATGATTTGACTTCCACAAAGTAACAAAAAAAATATTCTTACATATCTGCAAATTTTGTGAGGCATAAATGAATGAAGGTCCATACTCTACATGTTATCTAAGCATTTAAATATGAATTGTTTTCATAGGAATCATGCACATGTCATTATGGAAGTATGCTTTGGAGTATAAGCTATTGCAGCACCAGACCCCTCTTAATAGCAATCTCTAAAGACACAAAAGAGAATTAAAGCAAGTCTAATACTTATTGTAGTTCAAACCCTGACATTTGAACAACAGAAATCTTCATGTCTACTCAGATTATGTATTTTCTTGACAATACAAGATGCAGGAAATCAGGAAAATCCCCTCTGAAACCATAGGGCCCTATGAAAAAACAAAAGAAAAATAACCCAACTGAACACCCCTCAACACTGGCAAGGAATTTCTCAAGATTTGGGGTAACTATGAGCCAAGATAAGTGAGAATAGTCACTTGGCCCTCTTTACAATGAATATCCTTGCTGACAAGAGGCCTCAAGTTCAATATCCCTTCAGAAGTCCCTATTCCTTGTTTGTGCAGATATGTTTCAAACAAGAATACAGAAGGCATCACACTATCTGCCACTTCATTTTACCCTTCACAAAGACTGCATTTACTTTTCATAAACACTTGATGGAAAAAGAACAAATGAATAAAGAAATGGTAGAAAGTACACTAAAAAAAACAATTGTATACATATCTGCTGTGGTCACAAGTGCCTTTGGTCATCAAGAGAGGAATCATTCCACAAATGAAGATAAACTGGTGTAGAAGCTATCTGTGTGTACCTTCCAACACAGAGCCTTGGTGCTTACAGGAGAAGGGATTTCACTTTATTCATCAATCTTGAGAAATGTGATTAATTTGTGGAGTAAATGCAATATTTAGTGAAAGGTAAAATATGCTTCATTTTCTTTAGCAAACTAATTTATTTTACATAGTGTTTAATTTAGATAAGCATTATGGCTGAATGACTCATTAAATAATCTTTTGTCATTTTTGATGGCATCTTATTCTGAGTATGCATAAAATATGGGGGTAGAGGGTTAGGCATACAAACATATGCATGAATTTACAAATAGACATTGCTGATTCCTCAGGCTGAGTTGGTTACAGTGGTACATAATCAGAATCTTCGTTGTTGATGTAGTCTCAAGCAAGGCAAATGAAAATGGGTTAAAATTCAGCAATTGTAATAAACTCAGTAAAAATGAACAGAGCCTGAGGCATTACATAGAAGGATGACCTTCAGGACCCAAATAGCAGAAATGTGATAACTACAATACAATGTTAACAATCAATTACATCAATTACAAGAAATTCTGTTGTAAATTGGGAACTCTTCAGCTGGAAATGTCTGAAGAGAAGAAAGTCTTGAGCATCCTCAGCCAGAGGATGCCTGGTTACCAACACCACCACAGCCAGTGGGGCCAGGGGGCTAGCATGATCCCCACAGGTGTCTGGTGAGGCATTTGTCAGAAGAGCTCTAAGACTCTGCGAGTGTCTCCGTTGTTCTCTGATGAGACCACTTGGTGTTAAACAAGAGAAAAAGGGAGCATGGAAAAGAACAGTCTGAGCTTCTCGTTTGTTTGGGCTGGTAAAATGGAAAGCTAAAAAAGGGATATTTCTGCTGCTTATTAAGACAATAATGTCAGTGGGAAAAGGAGGAAAAGGAAAAAAAAACTACTTAAGAACATAAGTCCGCAACAAACTCTGCCCCCTGGAATAATCTCATTATGAATAAATTCCTCTAATACAGTGATCAGCCTACCCAGACCTTGTTGTATGGGCTGGAAACAAGCTTTTGGGTTATAAGAGAGCCCTTGTAGTTTCTGCTATGGCTGTTTATTGAGATCTACATCCGCAGCAAGGCAAGGCAGCTTTTCAAAGGGACCAGGAGTTGTTCCTCTAATTTTGGATCTTTCTAATGGTCATACCTCTGTAATGGTGCAGCGAGGAGGCCTAATATGAACAGTATCAAAGGGGACTTCTATTTGGAGGGATAATATCCTCTTAAGTCAAGCTGAGAGAGCTGGAAAAGCCAATGAACTTTCAGGCATGAGCATGCCCTCCCCCTTGCTGCCCTGCCAACTCACATCACAGATTTCAGGAAAGTACAAGGTAGCACCTGGCCTTTTTGATTTTGCTCAGGCTTCCAGGCTGAGATCAATACTGATGAGAGCAGAGTTATACAAGCAGTGCTCTTTGAAGTTTAATCCTCTGTCCTCTCTGCCCAAGACACTCACTCTCTTCTCACACAACCTTGTGCTGGAGCAGCAGCCCACAGCTACACTGGTGGCTTGCAGGCAGCCTGGATCCACTCACCACTGTCTGGGTTCCCACTCTACCTCCTTCACACATGGTTTTACAAAGAGGTGACTAAATGCCTGTAATTGCATAAGTTATATATGGAGTGACAGCAGAATTCAGCCTCCTGGGCAGGAAAGACTAATGCCAAAGGGAAAATTTCTTGCAACTATAAATTGATAAAGTGCCCTTAACTTGAAGGATTTGGGCCCCTTAAATGCTTTACACAGAAAATTAAAGATAAATCAGACTCCCCTGATCATGCTAAAAGCTAAAAGGCACTTCAAGTAGCTTCTAGGGAGTGAAAGGAGACTTTAAAGTGA